CGGCTGCGGGCGCTCGGGAGCGGGCCCGAGGGGCGTCTGGGGCTGAGCAAGCTGCGGTGCTCGTGTTACCGGTGTGAGAGGACTTGCCTGGGAGGGAACGGCTCTGAGTACCAGATGAGGTGTCTCCTGCTCCCAGGGATTTCCGTAGCCCAGAGGTGGGCTGCAGGTACTGACGTTGCAGGACTACAGCGAGCAGACCGATTTTTTTTTTCCCCCCCCAGCTCCACAAATGGCAGTATTTCTTTTCGTTGGCTGCTTTGATTTGGTGTGTCCTTGTTAAAAAGACTGGCTCCATCTCTGTTCAGTAGTAGTTTCCTTTCGAAATATCTCTTAAGGTGTTTTGCCAGGAGAATCCCAGTTTGGTTGTGCTGGCAAATGGTGATGGAGAAATTTAGAACTATTGGCCAAACTGATGGTGCGTGAGTACTGGAAGATTGACTCTGTGCTAGCAAGTATTAGTAACTGTGCAGTATGAGTTTAGATACTTCGACATTGTCTATTTTAAACAGAGGTTTGATACTGAACTCGAACTTTGACCTTTACAGACTGCTTTTTTAGCTTCAGCACAACTTCCCATAGCTGTAGTGGCCATAAATAGTTTACTTTGTTTAGATATTTGTCCTAATGCTTCATTTTCTTGCAGAATTTTTCTGTTCTGAGCACAAGATCAGGGTAGGAATTCAGTACTTTTGTTTATACAAATAATTCTCTTTTTTTTGTTTGTTTTGGAAACTATTTTCTGACAGCTATGAAATTTCTGTTGGTTTTTGATTTTGACCATACAATCGTAGATGAAAATAGCGATACCTGGATTGTGAAATGTGCTCCTGAGAATAAACTTCCTAATGGATTAAGAAACTCCTACCAACCAGGACACTGGACAGAATATATGGGCAGAGTCTTTGTCTACTTGGGAGACAATGGCGTCAAAGAAGATGAGATGAAAAGAACTATGACAACAATTCCTTTCACTGCGGGAATGGTAGATCTTCTGGGCTTTATTGGCAAGAACAAAGAGTTGTTTGATTGCATAATTGTTTCAGATTCTAATACAGTATTTATTGACTGGATTTTGAAAGCTGCTGACTTGCATAAGGTGTTTGATGAAGTGTTTACAAACCCCGCAGCATTCAGCAGTACTGGCTATCTTACTGTGCAGAACTTCCATGCTCACCATTGTGCAAAATGCCCTAAAAACCTTTGCAAACGGAAAGTTTTAGAAGAATTTCTAGATAAACAGTTGGAGCGAGGAGTACGTTACACGCAAATTGTATATATAGGTGATGGTGGGAATGACTTATGTCCAGTAATGATTTTGAAGAAGGATGATATTGCTATGCCCAGGCAGGGGTATACCTTGGAGAAAAAAATTTCTCGTCTGGCCCAAGATTTCAGTCCTGTAGAGTGTTCTGTTCTGGTTTGGTCATCTGCTACTGAAATTATGTCTTATCTGAAAGTGCTTATAAAGGAATAATTCAAATAAAGAAAACTAATGTAGTTATATTTTATCTTCCTGGGAGAGAAAAACTGCATGTGTATAAAAGCACAAAATGGTAAAATTGGGCTGTTATCTGAACTTATGTTTTTTAAACACAATATAAAACTGTTTATGTTCAATCTTGGCAATGGTGGGAAAATGAAATTAAAATGTCTTTCTAAGATACTACACATTCTAACGTAAGTGGAGAAGTGGGGTTGCAAGAGGAATTGGCATTATTCTTAGTCTTCCCCCTCCCCGCAAGCCTTTACCAACTACATAACTGACCTTTTCTGTTCCACACGCTTAGAGGAAGGAGTAGGATTAGTGCACAAAAGAATGAAATTCTTTACTTAGAAAACATTAGGTGCTAGGAGCATGGTTCTGGAACTGTTGGCTTTTATACTTCTTTGATCAGGATAAATGTTTAATTTTGTAAATTATTTGGTATGCTTATAATCTTGTTTGATCTGAAGATGCATTTATATTTTCAATATACTAAATATTTCACCAAACAAAATTACTTTTTAATAGTTTGTATTATCTTGTGTTGTAAAGACAATAAAAGTTACTGTCACTGACAAAAGCAACACATCTGATTTGTGTAATGTATTCTGCTGGCCTGTGTGTCATCAGGCACCTGTTCTTGTGAGGGCCTGGAGAGAGTGAACACAAGCGTACGTGTCAGCCTTTGGGTAACACCCTCATTTATTTTGTCAGTCAGACAAAATACTGCTCTTCTGGAGCACGGTAAGGCTGTTGCTGTTCTGTTTAAAGAAAAGTCACTCTCCCGTTCTGACTGTCGCCCTGACAGTATGCTGCTGCCGCTCCCTATAGAGCTAACGCTGCTTGGATGTTCCATGCTGACAGCTCTGAGTCAGCCAGGTGCTTTTTTTCTTGCTGGGTTTCTGCTGCAATGCACAGGCCCACAGAATGGTGCATACGGATACATGTTTACACTGATTTTACCTATTCACTGTCGTCCATATCTATAGTATAATCCTCTCTTACAGGCGGGAAGGGAACATCTATGTCCATTTTAACTTTCGAACAGAATTGTTCTGTCTTTAAATAGTTTAAGGAATCATTTGTGAACGTGCAGTCTTTCTCTTTACCACTCACAGTGAGATGAGCCCCAAGAGCTGGGCTATGCATATAGAGATACTAAAAATAAGTCTCATTAAAGTTAAATAATGTATTTTCATGCCACGTTTTCCTTCTTATAGTCCCACAAAAGGTCCAAAATGATGATGTAGCCTGCTATTGAACTGACGTCTGGTTTGGCTTAAGTGCCTTAATAAGTGAGAAATGAGTCCAACTTTTGCAGCACTGCTGATGTAGCTCGGCAGCCTGCGATTGCTGTAGCTGTCTTCCTCTGTTTTCTGTGCAACGTTGTTCTCATTTTCTTACTGCTGTTTGATGTTGTCGCTACCTTCTTTTTCTCAGTTGAAGATTTTTAGGAGTGGTCTGGCCTGTTTTCAGGCTGATAGTGTATATAAATTAAGATTTTCTTTGATTACTTCCTTGTAAATGGTCCTGCTTTTAGCCCTTTACCTATTTTAATGAATTGCAGAAGTTTGCTTTGAACAGTCTGTTGTCTAAGATGTCCAGAATAATACACTTGAGTTCTCAGGAGCGTTGCTTTAATGATGGATATTTGATAGGTGCCTGAGATGTTTGTATCGGAGATCTTGCCGTATCGTCTTGTGCAAGGGCATGAAGACGGCATCTGAAGAACTGATGGGTTTCAAGTTGTGACAGGTTTAAGTTGTCTGATTTACAGGTCATACAAAAAGGTAATGGCCGTTGCATAGTACAATTTTGTATGGTTACTTTTTTTTTTTTTTTTTTAAAGTTGTGTGTTTCCCTCATTCTAGATGTGCTGCTTAATATTCCAGATTCTGTGCCGGTCTCTTCTGTGCTTTTCAGAACTTACTTGTGAGACAGCTTGCTGTCAGTTTGTCCACAGATCTCAGCTACTGCTTACTTAAAAACAAACAAACAGAAAACTAGTATATGAATAATCATTCAGCTTTTTCTTCCACTTATATTAACTATTGTTCTTTTAGCCTTGAGGAACCTACCTTTTAGTTTGCTGTGAGAGTGAGAAACTGAGTGAGAAATTAATCTTCATGCTCAAAAAGGGTGTTTTTTGTGGTTTTGATGAAAGTACTGAAGCAGGATTTGAGAGTAGATTAAGCAAAGGAGACTACTTGAAATAGTAGCAATTATGATGTGATCACTTCAAGTAGAGGGTAGAGCTGATGCTATTTGCTAGACAAAGTGCATGTTGGAGACAGAAGAAATTTTTCAATTCCAGTAAGTAGGCCATTAAGCTATTAATATGAGGTCTTGGGGGTTTTTCCTCTTAATAAAAGAGAAGAGAGAACTTTTCTGAAGCACCACAGTTACCAAATTTTTCCACATATGGGTATAAGGGAGGGGAGATGAGTATCTCCAAAGGGTGAAGCTGGTTTAAACTGGTGACCCAGCCAAAAGAGAGAGGGAGACGCTCATTGAAGGGACACACGTTGAGTACTTGGTGCTGCTGACCTCCAGAGTTGCTGGGGGTGTAAGTCAACATGCTCTCTGGGAGGGAGATGACTTAGGTAAAGATGTTATGAAAAGAACTGCATAATGAAGGGCGTATGTGTGTATGGGAAATTTTCTATATGGTAACAGATCTGCTATTGTACACCAGCTACTATGACGAGTACTTGGCCTTAGTATTATGTGCTAGCAGGATGGCCAAGACCTGGGAGAAGTTCCCGCTTGTCCATAGGAAGCTGATGAAATGGGAAGTGCAAAACCACAGCAAAACAAAGCTGTTGGCACGGGGATGTACGAACAGAGTCAGGGCCGTACAAGGGAATGCTCCAGAGAAAGAAACGGAGTGAGTGCGGCAGCTGAGGGACAGGCCCGGGTCAGAGAGGCAGGGCTACTGCTAGTGCCTGGGTTACACCACAAAACTCCCGTTTCCTGGGCTAACAATGCATCAAGAGTGGTTGAAAAACTGAAGGCAAAGATGTGGGGAGGGTTCGTTGTTTTTTGTTTGCATCGGCTTATTTACGTCTCGTGTTACTATGTAAAGGCCAAGGGCAAGTTTGAGTCCTGTTGCACGGTTATCATGCGAGGAAGGATGGCAGAGGGGTATGTCCATATACGCTTTCCAGTTCAGACTCCTTCTGTAGTTCGTGCTAAAGAATCTGTGTAGAGCAGGAGCTCTCCTTTTGGGTATTAATAATAACAAACACCCACCTCCTTTTGGTAGGAGAAACCGCTGCCGGTCCTTTCTATCCAGGAGAGCTCTGGCAGGGCAAGGGGAGCCTGGCTGCTGGATCCAAAGGATCCAAACCCTGCTGCAGGTGAAGGAGGGAGCCCAGCTGCTTAAACCCAGATGATGCTGTGCTTCAAATACTGTTAAAGGTCTCCATTGCAGAAAATGTTTTGCTAGCAGAGAAGAAAAAGACTTCTTAAATTGTGAACCGCGTTTTCAGAAGCGATAAAAGCCAATATAACCACCTTCCTGAATAATCTTCTTACACTTGGAGTCCGTTTGTCAGCATAGTTTGTGACTGTCCTTGCACCCTGCCAGGCTGAGGTGTTTGAGGAGAGCTCTGGCCGTCTCCTCTTGAATCTCGTCCTTCTGTAATGGGGGAGTCCCGGGAGCTCGCTGCCCTTCCCAGCATCGCCCCTCCGAGCCCCCCGGCAGAGCGGGGTGCCTCTGCGAGAGGCTGGTGGCAGTCAGAGGCCCCCTTGCTTTGTTGTGTGGCTGAGTGCCACCGAGCTGGTGACGCTCCCCAGGCATCTGCTTCTGTCCCTAATGCGGCCGGGCCTGATGTCATCATCGCCTTCAGCCTTTTAACCCCCTGCCCCCAGGGCCCGGGAGCCCCAGGGCAG